CACGGCCTTCAACCACAGTGAAGGCGACTACGGCTCGGGCAGCAAGGAGAGGCGGCATGTCTTCTGCAGCACGCCTCTTTGATCTCTCCTGTGATGAGGCCATCTGTTCTGCAGACAGCTTTTGTGTCAATGACTACGACCGGGGCGGCTCGCGCTGCCACTGCAACTTGGGAAAAGGAGGAGAGACGTGTGCGGAAGGTAGGTTTCTGCCTGCCCGCTGCTGCTGGCTTCTTGTTTTCTGGTGGAAGGAGCAGCTGCATGATGAACCAACCAAAGTGCGCTTTGGGAATAGCTGGCTGGGCTTAATGGATCCCTAAGGACAGCAGCAATTTCCATGTCCCAGTTCAGACATTGGCCCCTTTGCTTCTCTTTCCTCAGCTAAGTGTGAAGAAGTTATTCTTTAATAAAGGTGAATGCAGACCCCCTGTGAAGGTGTACAGGCGAGGTTAATCCTCCTTCCCCACCTAGGAGTGGGAGAGTGATGGAGCCAGATATGTTGGTAGGCACGCAGGCCTGACATGGCCCAGCCATGGCATCCACAGCTTCCAGCAGGGACATTCAGCCCCCCCTTTGACCCTTGCCTTTTGCCTGCAGCTGAAGCCCTGAACCACCCATGTTTCCAGCATGGTCCATCAGATGTTGCTGATGCTGCAGCAGGGATGTGAGACAGAGCCCCCATTGTAAACCATCTCCAGAGGAGACTTTCTCCATGGTCTGCAGGGCAGAAGTGCTGGAGTGGTAGCCCCAGCACTCATGTCAGGCAGGCTGGGGCAAGGGTGGAACAAAAGACCATCCCCGGTTCAGAAAGCATGACCTGAAGCCCAGGTCAGCATGAGGAACTGTGGCTGTCCCAGTCAGGACTTGCCGCGTATCCTCTTGCCTCTCTGCAGGGCACCTGAGCCAGGGCAAGAGCTTGCTGAGCTGAAGGAGGCCATCCTGCTTCTCCTTCTCTTGCCACCTACCTGTCTTCTCCCTCTGCTGACCTAACCTTGCCCTTTTGCTGGGCCTGACATTGAGCTGATCACCTGGTGAGCCAGTCCAGCTTGCTTACCAGGCCATAAGCAGATCACTTTTTTTTAGCCCCTGGAGTTACTTTTTTTCTGGTTTGGTGACCAAGGGGTCAGATGAATGCCAGAGCTTGTGCAAAGAAAGTGTCTCATTGCTTGTAGTGGTTCTGTCCCACGAGCTAAGAAAGAGCTGATCTGTCTGTCTGCATGCTGATCTGATCTGCCAAGGCCCTGCCACGCAGCAATGCATCAGGGACACACGTGTCTTCTGCAGGCTCGCGTTAGACATTTATGATGCACAGTGTTGTGCATCAGGGATACAGACACTGAGGGTGTTTGATCTTCTCCTGGTGCTGGAGTAAAGAGAGCTCATTCTGAAAACAATCTTTTATGACTCAGCCACATGGAACAGCTGCAGATGTGATTTTTGGCCTTGATCAAGTATGAAGCGTCAAGGATTTATTTGAACTGACATAACTGTATGCAACTTGTAGAGTGGGTTTGTTAACGTCAGTCCAAAACCAACATCTTTCACAAGGGAGTGTGTTATTCCTTGGTAAGCAGTAGCATCATGTACCAATATTTTCTTGAACTGAATTTCTCCACACCAGCCAATATTGTTAAATAATATATTAATCTGAATGAAAACAGATTTTTTTTTCTTTGCAATCAACAGCTGCATGGCGCTGTGGTCCAGTCAGTTCTGCTTGTGATCAGGGCATGAATTAATGGCTGTCTACTGTGGTAGCATTCAGGTTTATAGCACTGGTTCTCTTCACCTCAGCCTGAAATGTATACCTTGCAAACAAAAAAGTTGAGAGAGCTGTATCCAGATCCAAATATGCAAGAAAAACCCATTCAGTATTCAAATAGCAAAGAGGAATAGGAATCCGTACCCTTCCTTCCTCATTAGACTTAGATCCACTGCAAAAATAAGAATTCAGGCCTGAAACTGTGTCTGTCCTCAGTGCTTCTTAGGAAAATGAGCTGCAAAGGTAGCCATAAGACATCTCTCTGATTTTCTTTTTCTGTGCTGAAGCCAGGATGGTCCTCTTAACGTGAGACAGCAAAGGGTGAGGACTGATAACGCTAGCTGACAAGAGCAATATGAAGGGCCACTATTGCAGCCAGGGATGGAGAGATGCATACAGGGGCTCACTTCTCCCCATCACTCCCTTTACCTTCTGCCCTGAGCTGACTTGAAGGAAGCGCTGGGAGCTGATGGGCTCTTAAGAGCCAGTTAGGGATTCTGCGGATGCTGGACGCAGCAGCTATGGAGCAGCAGTGACTAATGCAGTGTGGAGTCTGGCCGCATTTCCCGCATATGTTTTTATAATCCTGCAAAACAGAAAATTACTTTGTTGTCTCTGTGTTAAATGAATTCTTAAAAGGAGATAAATATAAAGTAAATGGGTTCTGTCTTCTGTAACAGGGATGAATATCTGGAAAAAGTTCCACTGAAGCCAGCAATTAAACTGTTGAGCAGTATTTGGCCCTCAGTATCCTGTTTCTTTCCAAGTTCACCAGGTCCTTGGGAATAAAAGAATTAGTTGTGAAAGGTGGTGGGAGGACAAGGCAATAGGTTAACTGTTGACTGCTGCTGACTAATGGTTGTCTCTGGAGGAACTCTGCCTTGCATTTTCATCTGATGTTATCTAGTGCTAAATGTGTATATCGATTTTTATATGGGAGAAAACTGCTAAGTAACATGCTTCTGTCTTTGCTTTTCAGATATTATTATCCAGTATCCTCAGTTCTCTGGCTACTCATACATCACCTTTGAACCACTGAAAAACTCCTATCAGACATTTCAAATTACCCTTGAATTCAGGGTAAGTTTAAGCAATTCCAAGCTCATGTAGGAGCTTTAAATTTTATTTGCTTATTCTGATGATGTGGACAATGGAACAATAACTTAGCTTCAGTATAGCTTATAATGTAATTGTGGTGAACCTATACATAATCTTCATCTCTAAAGATCTGGCTTCATCTTCAATGAATGCAAATGAAGTTGGTAAACTGAGCTAAAATGTTTGCATCCATTATTGGTAGACAGTGCATGAGAGAATCCCTGGGGCTAGTAATGCTGGCATTGCAGACTGGTGACAATGTACATTGGCAAGGTTATAGCCATGTGAATGGGCTACAGGCTGAAGTACACCTGGAATTTTTGTGAACTACAGTTTGGAAGTGGCATGCAGTATCTTTGCATATAAGAAGCTGTGATCTTGTACTGAGCAAAATACTGCCCTATATCCAGAGCTCCTTTCCTATCCTGCAGGATTTAAGTAGGCATTATTTTCCATGTCTGAAGTTTGGGATGCCTGCTACTAATACGTGCAAGATACTGGACTACTTAAACTACAGTTCTGAAGTGTACATCCCACAGTGACTTGTGTTAATGCTGTCTGTGTGTTACGGACAGGGCTAGTAGGGCTGCCTGTAGGGAGGGTGGCTGAGCTCTCGGATGCGCCCCTGCTCCCATGTAAGGCAGACTTGCCAGCTTCACAGCCTGGGTACGAGACTGTCACTAGAGCAGCAGCAGTCTGTTGCCTCACTTGGTGATCTGACACTCCTCTGGCAATTTGCCAGCTTAAAATGCAGGATGGCTGTAAACTGTGTCAGCTGCTATGCACATACGGAGAAATCCTGCCCACACAGGTTGTTCGGCTTGAAAAGTGTCAGGCTCACTGAACATGTGAAGCAGGGTGTGTGTATTCATGTGCCGTAAGTCTGATGTGTCTACACTTAACAGGCTTGCTAGGACATCCTTGCTAGACTTTGTGCTCAGAGGTCTCATATGGGACATGCCTGACAGTCTCTAATGCTTTCAGGCTTGTTTTTAGGTCTGATAGCATCATACTCTAAGTAGAAGAGATGTTCTGAGACCATTTAAGCATTAAGGCAATGTTTTTCTAGGTTCTTCAAATGCAGGATTCAAAATTGTTCAACCAATTTCTGATTCTGCAAATTAAAAACTTCATCTGAAAAATGCTGTCCCTTTTCTGGAGAAAAGTCCCCCAGTGCTGCTTACATTTATCTGTCACTGTGAGGCTTAGACTTTGATTTTTCATGTTGATGCTGTGATTGCAGGCTGAATCAGAAGATGGTTTGCTGCTATACTGTGGAGAAAATGAACACGGTCGTGGTGATTTTATGTCACTAGCAATCATCCGGCGTAGCATCCAGTTCAGGTAAAGCCTCCACCCTAAATCTGATGTAAAGGGCAGGGGCCATTGCTGCCTCCTGGGACTTGCTATATATGATGAATAGCTGTCCTGTCTTTGACTTTTGCCATGCAATGCACAAAATGGACAGTATTACTTCATTTAACAGTTCTTCAATATTTTTTTCTCTCATCCTTCTTTAGTGTGTGAACATGTGCCCTGTTGAATTCTTTTTACTCAGACCTTGGTGTAAAGGCAAAATAATCAGTTTTCTTCAAGGCACTAGTCCAGGGCTCATTGCTATGTTACTAGAAATGCTAGTGAGCCACTGCATTTGCTAAGCTTATGCTATATCGAGCTGTGCATAGTCAATGTTTGTGCTTCACAGCAAAAGGACCTGCAGATAATGTACCAAAATAAAGGATTTAATGCTATCAAGGGGTCTGGAACTTCATCTTATATCCCTTATTTAGATGGGATTTGCAGGTTTTTTAAATGAAGATGGAGAGGGTTTCTTGCAGTCCCATAGAGATGAAGCATGTGAAAGAGTATCTCAAGGATCGCCATACTTGGGAGGGTGAGTCCTTTGAAAGTGGGGAATAACAAAGCGGGTGATGTGCCTTAGTTGTGTTTCTGTTCACCTGCACTGAACAGCAGTCAGAGAAAATGGCACATTTTGTGCACGTTCAGCTCCACAGACTCTCCTGGAGGTCTCCTTGTCAATCAGTACTGAGTTTCATACAGAATTGCAGAGTTATTAATGCCTTTCACCAGGGAGCTAGAAAAACTCCCCAAAGAAATTACTGTGATAGTAGGAACTCAGATTGTAATACCCTCCATCTTGAAACAGTTTCAGCTGTTGGCAAGCTTTGCAATGCACTTGGTACAGCCAGAGGATGCAAAATCTTCTGCATGGGAGAAAGACAGATAATGAAGTTTGAAACTTGGAACAGATCATATGTAGACCTGCTGTCTAATTTTCCTGTGGTCTGCTAATATGCAATGTGAAACACAGAGGTTCCCAGGAGCAGAGGGAATATTTGGAGTCTAAAAATTACTTTCAGTTATTTGGTTAATGTAAGCTTGTCACCTTGCCCTCTCTGTCTCACGCTCCCAGGTTCAACTGTGGCACTGGGGTTGCAGTCATAACAAGTGAAAACAAAATCAAGCTGGGGAACTGGCACAGCGTCACGTTGTTCAGAGATGGGGTGAATGGCTGGCTCAGGATGGACAATGATGCTCCAATGACAGGAAAATCTCAGGTAGGTAGTCCCACACCTGCAGCTTGACCTTGGGCTCTCTCAAGATTTTGATGACATTTTTCTTGCCAGCAGACTTCTGATCAGATTTAAAAGCTACTTTTTTATTTATCAGTGTTGGGGCATTTAGTGAACCAGGATCAATATCCCAGTGCTGAGTGCCATCACAGTTTCCCTGTTGTCCTCCATGCTTGGTCTGCTGCCCTTCTGCTACACTTCACTAATCTCAAATACAGGCTGCTGTTAAAAGTTTGCCAGGTTTTACAGCTGCTGTCCCTGATTGCTTTCCTTCTCAAGCCTCAGAGAGCTGCTCTGCTTCCTGAGCCAGAAAAATTACATGCGTATGTGTATATGTGTATGTATTTCTGTATAATATGCATATAGCCACACAAGGTTTGTATACAGAAGTATACAAACTTCTGTATACAAGAAGTTTGTATACAGAAACAAACTGTTTCCAGAACATGGACATAGATTTAAGTACAGTAATGGAGAGAGACATTCTGCCCTGACTTACGTTAACACCAACAATTTCGTGAGGCTGCCAGGATAGAATATAGTAGAGGAAGATGTCTTGACTTGCTCATCTGTTGCCAGGCAAGAAAACAAAAAGTGAAATTAAGGCACTGAAAAAAAAAAAAAAAGACAGTTGCAAATTGTTTCAGATGTCTTTCCTTTTCCCTTTGATAGCCACTATTAACATGCCATCCCTAGCCCTGAAAAAAGTGGCTTCAGACATCTGAAAAAGAAACAAGAAAAGCTTCTATAGGTACGCTGGTGATAAAAGGAAGACTAGGGAAAGTGTGGGCCTGCTCCAGAAGGAAACAGGAGACCTGGTTACCTGGGATATGGAGAAGGCTGAGGTACTCAATGACTTTTTTGCCTCAGTCTTCACCAGCAAGTGCTCAAGCCACACTGCCCAAGTCG